CCTGATCTTCCCAAATAACATTTATAATGAGATTGTTGATCAAGCAAACATGAATTTGCCATTGCAATTGTCGACGTCACTTATTTTTGATACAAATAGTCACAATACTATCCGTAATACTTGGCCAGAAACCTGGCCTTCAGCCAAAATTGTCAAAAGGTCGCAGGGCAAGAAACATCGACCTCTTTCAACTCACATTTATAATAGGATTGTTAATTTAGGAAGTATGAATTTTCCGTTACAATTAACGCTATTAATTATTTTCAGTTTAAGTAGCCTTAAAATATAACCATATATTTTGAATAAGAACTTATGATTCTATGTCGCTAATGGAATATTAGCAAGGCCAACTTATTTCGTTGTTGGGACACTCAAATATGAGTCCTTAAATAACTGTAAGCAACCCAGACCTATTATTTTTCTATTTCTACTTCAGAATCCGGTTACACCAATTTAACAATCTCCTACGGGAATCCGACCAATCCCGGCACTCACTGATACAGGCCTCCCCTGAACCGTCCACTGTCACATGCTTCCCACACTTTATAGATCCGCTTGGTGATTTATTTCTTACTATGCCTTCCTGTTACGCCTTTGTGGCGAACTGGGTTGGCTCAGTTTCTGATAAATTCGGATCGCGATCCCTATCGAGACTGCGCATATCCACAAACTGGGATCTAAGATGCAGGAGATTCCAAGCCCTCAGCAATCTGGTATGTAACCTAGATTCCTATCACAGTATCCACCGATGTGTTGGGAAAAACTCGTAAACCTACTTGGACCATAGGTAAGAAGAGCCCCTGAATAGATTGATGTGGACATTCTTTACATTTCGTCACAGGAGACGAATGGAAGGTTTTTAAAAGTTAGTTTCAAGGGAAGCCGACCACCGATTCATAAGGTCCGTGGGACAATGAGCCTAGAACTTATTCGCATAAATCTACATTCACGGTTCCAAGGCAATCCAGGAGGATAAAAACACATGTTTTACAAGGCAAGATGAGTAAAATTCAATGACATTACCAGGTCTACAAATGTAATTGTTGAAAATTCTTGATTCACCTTTAATGACTTGGGGTAACTACAGCTCTTATTTCAGAAATACTAATAGGTCCGAATATAAGGCTTGATCATTGAATTTCCAACGATCTACTGAGTAGACCCCCCCTGATAGTGAAGTTCGTCTTGACTTCCAAACCTTGACCTCCAGACCGGATTGCGGTTTTGACCTCACCTCGGGCTCTCCTTAGCCCACCCAACGGTACTCAAGCGTAGTGAGCGTCAAGTGACGACACTTTTACACAGTCGCGTAGACACGAGTGCCAATTCATCTTATCGACAACAATCCCATTCTAAAAATGTGAGTTGGAAGAGGTCTGGATTGCCTTGAAAGCCACATTTTAAGGTTGGGAGTCCCGTTGGGGGTGCTGAAGAGACCTGGATGGGGCCAAAACTGCTTTCCAATCTCATGCTATTCTTTTGGTTTCTAGACCATCTAATTTGATATACACGAACTTAATATATAAAGATAAACTGATTTTCGATAGGTCTCCTGATATCTCAGAGTTAAGTTGACTTTTTATTCGTTTGACAGCGTGTTATGAAGAGATTCAGAGGACAGTGTTACCGAAATAAGAAAGTGAATGCCCCTCGATCCACTGATGTTTAGTTATAATTAGATTTTGATTTTGTCGAAGTCCGGTTTCGATAGAAAAAGGTAGATCACTCATTTGTCTTATGAAAGACATCGTCGGGCCAGAGATGCATTAGTATAACAATATCAAGCCGACATCAAGTAAAAAATACTAACCTCATATGATAGTAAAACCAGATTGGCATGACTTTGGGTATAATAAAATATCACGCTTTCAATATATAGCTATACCGACCAAAATGTTAGGACCTCTGTTTTTGCCGAAATCTCCTTTCGACCAAGTTGAAAAAACTAGGTCAACTCACATTCATACTTTCAAGATTTGAGATCAGAAGGCCAATCGAGTGTCCGGAATTGCTCAATCGTAGTCACTAAACCGTGATAACATTAGGACAAATGTTGCTACTCAGTTCAGATTATCAGTATGGCTTCATATGTCAGCAAACAAATACATACCCACTTGCAAAGTCAAACACACAGAAAGATATCGTAGGGAACTAGCCGAATCTTTCTAAATCGAGTTGTTTTACGAGTAGATATATAGCAAGCAAGACTGGCCAGTTAGTCTTCTTTACTCAGGATGGGCCTGAATTAGTTATAAGTGTGTCATCCTGTTCTGATTATATCTGTCTTATCACAGACGAAGGCTTAGAGTAAAGCCACCGGAAACTAAGACGGGTGTCTCAAGGACGACGTCAGACAGAATGCCCCATTAAAACCAACGACAGCCGAACGAGGGGAACATGTCGTCGTATTCCGGAAAGATTGGCACAACTCACATATAGAGACCTAATAGTAAAAAGTCGTCTCTTCCAAAATGTCCAATTAATACCACATTTTGAAACTAATGTATGCCTTCAAAATAGCTGCCATAACACCAGGCCTAAGGTTTTGTGGACAGCTGTCAAACGCATGAGGGACTTCCGTTTCGGCAACCTGGCTCAAACGGGACACATCCGATTCGAAGTTCCTCTACAACACGTTATTAAGGACATACACTTAAAAGGCCTTAGGGAATTTAAGTGCAAACCCAAACCCAATGGAAGTATTAACACCTTACAAAGCCACAGTTTTATAGCAAATTAAGACACTAGGAAGAATTTAATGATTAACTGTCTGCGATGAGGGCGCAAAATAAATCGTATTAGCATCTTTTGGGCCAATTTTGTCAGGAAGTTGGTTATAGCAAATGAACACGAGTTCATTGGCTATTACAGAAAATATTCACCTCTTTACCCACGCGAGATTGGAAGAGGCTTTATTTTACTTTAAAATTCACTACGCAATGCCTCCACAAATTTCACTCTTATCCAGATTGTATCAATAAACAACCTAGTTTTTTCACTAAAATGCTTATTTTCAAGATGAACACAAACAACGCTTCTGTAAAGTATATAGATTACCGACCTACTGATACCAGGCACCCTACCAAAGGTGATAATTCTAGGTTAATGTTTAGTATTTTTCTAACTAGTGTCATCACAGTTCAGATAAGGTGACTTGGAGACTGATAGTAGATTTCCACCTCAATGATATGAGTAGTCCTCACTATGCCTCTGAATTTCGCTTAATCATGCTTTCGAAAATGTCTTCTTGTCAAGGCTTGGCTACGGTTTAGACCTCTTCCGGGTCTCATCAGCCTACCCAATGGGAAATAAATCAAGCTACTGCGAATCGTGGTGAAATGATACAACCCCGTCTCACAGTCACGGATACTAGTGGGCCACAGGGTAGTGGTAATTAGGCCTCACCAAAATCTCATTTACAGTGGGTTTGCCGATGAGGTAAATATATATGTGTCACTGCGGGTGAAGACATAGCTTACTTTCGTTGAGTATATTTTGAAATTTCAATTAATAAATTAGTAATTTAAGGACTGATAAATAAACTTAGCCCCTCTGGGTTGTTTATGATGACAAAGGATTGATAGTTGGATTTTACCACAGTGAAATAAGTAGGCCTTACTAATATTTCGATAGTAGGTATGAAGACCAAGATGGTGTGGCCTTTTGTGTGGTCTCAGTCTCCTTTCGTTGTATAGAGGTTGTTT